ATAAATTATTAAAAATAATAAATTAAAATAAAAATAAAACAAATAATTACAATAAAAAAAATATAAAATATATTCGACTGTTCCGGTACTCATGAGATACCGTAGAGTTTTCCTATTTTAAAATATATATATTAAGATAATTTAATAAAATAATAAAAACGTATTAAATCACTTTGAATTAATATAAAATTATTAAATAATATAATAATTGATAAAAATTACATCAATATTAGTTAAACATTCCTATATAAACTTAGCTTTATTTTCTTTATAAATTGAGTTTTACTTTGTATTTCTTGTCTTGTTATAAAAAAATACTTCAAGTATGTGCATTATCATTCGTCCATTACGTGTGATATGTCATGATGAAATGAGTATTTATTTTAGATGAATTTAAAAATGTAATGTATAGGAAAAAAAAACCATTAAGAGAAAACTTTATAATTACATGTCACATTTTAATTTGAATGTAGAAAATAAGATATGTAACAGAACATTAACTCCAATCCATATATGAAGACAACATAAAACAATACAAAATGAAAACTTATTACATAGCTATATATATATATTGTTTCGTTAAATTATACCAAAGATTGACTTTAGAAATATCTCTTTAAAACACATTGAAAATGAATTAATTTGGAGTCCAACTATTATGATCCAATGTCTATTGAAAGGCCTATAAAAAAATATTATTAGTAAGGAATAAAAAATATGTTTAAGAATAAGTTTGTTAGGATTCATTGAAATTTTGTTTTGAACTATTGCTTCAAGTATTATACTATACATGACCATTGTGTTATTGTAGTAGAGGGAGTAGAATTAATCAAAGATTTTAGTTTCTATTCTTTTTTTTTTTTTGTTTAATTTTTTAGGAATTCTCCGTTACTCAAAAAAGATTTATAATGCCGGTCATTGAGTTAAAACATTTCAATTCTCGTAACTCATTTGTGTTCTTCTATCTAAAATTTTACAATATTTTTTTTTTTACTTTCCCAATTACGTGATGTCATTTTTTTTAAAAGAAATGATTATTTTCAGCCAAGAAATTAAGTAATTAACTAAAATTTCTTGGTAAGCCATAGAGTGTACCTTTCTCTATCTCAAATTGTTCAATATTCAATTTTTAGCTCCAATTCAAGTATTTTCCTCTGTCATCCAATGATTACCCTAATGGACAAATCTATCAAAGCGAGTTACTATCAGATTGCTTTTCATTCAGTATCTCGCCTTAAAGTTACTCACACATTATTCTCAATTTCCAAAATATAGTTAAATTTTTATAAAATGTTTCTTTCTAAATATTTAACGGGCCACGAGAAATTATACTACCATTTATGAGATTGTTTGACACGTGATCATTATAGATAATTGGTTGCAACTTGCAAGTATTATCGGATTTAAAACCAATGTTTATTGTTTCGATTTGGGTTGGACCCAAACAATAAAAGATCCGAACCAATTCATGAGGTTCATCCAGACCCGTGAGTACACAACAATGGTGATATACCAAAATTGAGAATAGTAGTAAATAAAAAAAAGAAGGTAGAATAGGTAAGAAGTGAATGTTAAATCCCAGCACAGAAAGCAGTAGGGGTATATCCTGAAGGGTGATTCTCGGATTCCGTTTTGGCCCTCGGTCTCCTTCAAGAGGCATTAATTATTGTACGATTAAATTATTTGACGTAGGGGGAAGGGCGAGGCCTCATTTGGTGAGATGGAAAAGGATAAACGAAGGAAATTGAGCCAATGAAATTGGTTTGTCCTTTTGTTATAAGGAATGGACTATGGAGTGTGTGAGTCACCCATAAATCACATGGACGTTGAAGAGAAGATAAGCACGCGAAGTGTCATCTAGTCAGCTACTACATAAAAAGTTGAAAGGGGACGATTTTTCTTTCTTAATTACCAAACCAAACCAAACCAAGCCTTATCCAACACAAACCAAGCAAGTATATTTCAGCCAGCCGCGGCGACACTCCGCCGAAACCCTCAAACCTCAAACCTCAAACCTCAAACCTCAAACCTCAAACCTCAAACCTCAAACTACCAGTACCAACTGCTTTCCCATGGCACTCTTTCTTCCTCTTCTCTGCCTTCTTTCCACTCTCTCCTACGCTCACACCTCTTCGCTAACCCTCCCCGTCACAAAAGACGATGCAACTCTCCAATACTTAACAACCCTTTCTTACGGCACCCCCGCTGAAGCTGCAAAATTTGTTCTTGATCTCGGAGCCTCTCTCCTCTGGGTTGACTGCGCCTCCAGAGCCACCCCTTCCTCCTCCCTCAACCCCATCTTCCTCCGTTCAATTCGCTGCCTCACAGCCAAAACCCCCGAGATTGAGACCCAAGCATGGCTCTACAGCCTGGGAAGCCCCGACCAAGACCAAGCCTGTCAAATTCCGGCGGAGAACAGCATCACCGGAAAAAGGGTCTCGGAAGGGGACCTGGTGGAGGATCTGGTGCACCCCTCTCACCAGCTTCTCCTCACGTGCGCCCCAACCCTTCTCTTGAACGGTTTAGCCGCCGGTGCCAAAGGCATGCTTGGCTTAGATAGATCTCGCACTTCTTTCTCCTCCCAGCTTTTCCACTCCCTCGGAACTCAGAGAAAAATCACTTTTTGCCTCTCTTCCTCTTCTGGGCTTCTCCAATTCGGCAACGTGGCGCACCACTCTCTCAGATCCCTCACTTTCACGCCGCTCCTCGCCAACCAGGACCAGACATACCCTTCCATTAACGTTAATTCCGTCAAAATCGGCGGCAAAAAGGTTTCTTTCAGCGGCGGGGCGGCTCAGCTGAGCACGGTGGTGCCCTACACCACGCTCCAGAGTTCGATCTATGAGAATTTCTCGAGCGCGTATCTGAAAGCGGCTTTGTCTCTGAACATGACCCAGGTGGCTCCGGTTGCGCCCTTTGGGCTCTGTTTTGGGTCTGGCGGTGTGGGGAGTTCGGAGGTTGGGCCCAGCGTGCCAGTGATTGACCTGGTGCTCCAGAGTGAGATGGTGAAGTGGAGCATATACGGGAGAAACTCCATGGTGCGTGTAAACGACGACGTTATGTGTTTAGGGTTTGTTGACGGAGGTCAAAACCCTAGAAATCCGATTGTGATTGGAGGATATCAATTGGAGGATGTGTTGGTGCAGTTTGATTTTGATACTTCCATGGTGGGTTTCAGTTCCTCGCTCTTGAGCAGGCAAACTAGTTGCGCTGACTTCAAATCTGCCTCCATGCCTGCCACACAATCGGTTTCACCTTGGTGATAATATTTTATTATTATTATTATTATTATCATCATCCATAAATACCACATAGTTTTCTTAGATTAAGGTGAGTTTTGAGGAGTTTAATCAACAGGTTTTGTAATAACCTTCTTTTTTTTTTTTGGACTCCCTGCGGTATGTGTATACGACTCTGCTTTCTGCTTATGGCGATGGCATTTTTGGTTAAGTGTTTTGGATAGTATTTGAAATTGAAATACTACTTCTTCTGTATGGTGTTACCCGATTGGAACTTGGAAGCCACTGTTTAACTGATTTAGTTTTTTTTTTTTTTTTTATTGTTGTTTTATTTACCTGGTCGGTCTGATAAGAAGCGCATTTTATATTGTGGAATGCTGATAGTGCGAAAAGCATATCCCATTATTATTAGTATATAAGATAAGATACAAAACAGCTCATCGCACACAGTTTTGTAAATAAAAAAAACAACAACTAAAGATGTGGCGCACAGGATATCTTTTGATTCGTTCAAGATGCTCTGTGTTCAGTACACCAACAATTTTCTTTTTCCCACAATATTATTATATTCAATTCAAATAATCTTAACAAAGCTGGTCTACAAAATACTGCTCCATAATTGCTGGTACACTTTTGTATATTTTATTTATGCTCCCCTTGCTTCATATAAAATTTTAAAGTTGTTTTCTGTGTAAATTTAAATTTTATTTTCTTATATTCGAATAACATAGATGCAAAATAATTAAATAAATTCATGTTACGGTGTCTTTTGTTTTTGCATCGAAAGTGTTCAGAGTTCAAACTTCCATTCAACTCACAAAGTAAATTATACACATTTTTGCTGTTGATTTGTCTCTGTGAAACCTGTAATTTAAATAAAAACTTACTATCTCCTTCTATGTTCTTTTTAATTGTTGGATTATTAAAAAAATCTACATATTTATTGTTTTTAAAGTTTAAAAGTTTAAGCAAATATTATTTTTTTAATTATACTCTCATCGTGATTAATTATTTTATTTTTTTAATAAAATTAAATAACAGAAATGAAGGTGCTAGAGTATATGTTTGAGAGGCGTTTTGTAGGATGAGAATTTTTTTATACTCAAAAATCATGAATCTTATATTATTAAGTAAAAACAAAAAAAATTGGTAAATTATGGTTTTATTTTTTAAATTTAATAAAATTAACTAACATACAATATTTATATTGACTTATCTAATTTGTAATATTGTATATTTTGTGATACTTATTTAACTATATAATGTGTTAGACTTATCTAATTTGTAATATTGTATATTTTGTGATACTTATTTAACTATATGATATGTTATTTTGGAACTCTAGTGGTCAAGAGACCTTGAGAGTCGGTATTTTGATATAGTTAAGTTAGTTTTTAAATTCAAATCTTCTTTCACTCTTTTAAAATTGAAAACTCATCTTTTCTTCCCTATTATAGTTGACCCATTTGATTAGTTGAAAGATTCAAGCCTAGAGCTAGAAGTCTCACATCCTTGGTTGCAAGGACGGAGCCAAGGGGGGACCTACGGGTGCCACGGCCCCCCCAACAAATTTTAATTTTTTTTTATATACATATATATTACTATATGGCACCCCCTATTTTTAATATAAACTCATATGTATAATTAAATGAATAACCCAAATTTATTTTTTTATTCAACTTTTGGACTTCTGGTACGGCCTGCTATGTGGTATCACTTTGGAATTTTTTTTTTTTTAAAAAAATGTAGCGCCTCATTTGATCATTCCAATTCTCGGCCCCCCAGTATTGAAATCCTGGCTCCGTCCCTGCTTGGTTGTGCGGAGTCTATTATTCTCTTCTCCTCTTTGGTTTGAACTTACAAGAGGTAAGTGAAGTTTGTATTGATTGTTAAAATTGTATGTTGAGTGTTGTTAGATTTCATCCATCATTGATTTCTTAATTGGTTGGAGAGAAAATTATGAATTGTTACAAGGTTGGATTTCCCTCGAAATTACACTGAGTTGAATAGGTTGATTTTTGATCAATATGAATGCATGTTTTTGTTACTAAAAATGAGCTTGGTAAGTTTTAAATATGTTGTATAATGGGTTTATGTGAGTTTTGGCCAAAATTAGTTAAATTCGTAAATGATAATAGATTATGCTATTCTTTATAATTTCATAATTTATAAATATGTTTTGTTGCGGGTTGCATCAATTGTCCCGTGGCGGAGGCTAGGTGGGCCAAGTCACTGTCGAATCATGGCGCTTGGGCTGCTGCGCTCTTAAGTAAAAAGAGTTGCGCCCTGACTATCAGCTATAGCTTTTGACCTAGTGGTAAACGCTCGATCCAACAATTGGTATCAGAGCCAAGGTCATGAGTTCGATACCCAGGGGAGATTGTTGCGGGTTGCATCAATTGTCCCGTGGAGTAAGCGCTCGATCCAACATGTTTCAAACAACTTACATTATTTACTGTTAATATTTTAAATTTAAGAAATTAACAGTGATATTTTTTTTAATAAAAAGTGTTATTAATAAAATCTCGCAATAACTTTTAATACATCACATGCCTAATTTTTAGTAAAAAAAAAATTTACTTATTAAATCTTTTATCATATTTTTTATTGTACAAGTTAACAATATTTATGTTATTTTAACATCATATTTTTATCCATAATAAAATATATTTTCATACTAGAAGTGTAAATAAAGATAAATAATTCATAAATTTAAAATTTGGTTTGAATTTTTTTACTATTTAAGTTGGATTCAATCTAATCTAATCAATTATATTAACTTAATTCACTCAATTTAACTTATTTATAATCAAATTAAGTTGAATTAATTTTTTTTAAATTACATAAATTTAATTCAATATAATCTATTAAATTTTTATCATATCAAATTTATCTAAATCCAATTCTACTTTATCTACTTACATGCTATACACTTTTTTTTTTAAAACAAAGAGACAAAAGAAAGAAAGAAATGAAAAGAGAGGTTGAGGACAAATTAATTATTGCACGAAGCCACGTATCTACATTCTATTAGATAAGCTCGAAATAACGCATGCTCTATCGTACGAACTCTACCTACAAAAGCACAGTACAAAAACACGTGCCTAAATACTGTTCGCTCAATTTTACATTTAATTATTAAAAATATAAATAAAACCTTCAACAGCTGTCATTTATTTAAATTATAAACATTTTTTAATTCATATTAATTTTCGTTGGACATAGTAAAAATAACAATTAGTAATTTTTTTTTATCAATTTTAACGTAGTAAAAATATTTTGTACTAAAAGATTAATATTTTTTTAAAATAAAAACTAATAACATAACATAAATGATTTCCATAGAATTTAGGCATTACTTTGTTATATAATATTTCAAAGATCTCATTGATTTGAAATATAAATAAAATAATATATATATATATATATATATATAT